GTCACCAGAGCTCCTCCCCACATATCACCCGTGTCACCAGACCCCTCCCCACATATCACCCGTGTCACCAGAGCTCCTCCCCACATATCACCCGTGTCACCAGAGCTCCTCCCCACATATCACCCGTGTCACCAGACCCCTCCCCACATATCACCCGTGTCACCAGAGCTCCTCCCCACATATCACCCGTGTCACCAGAGCTCCTCCCCACATAACAAGAAGTGTACTAGGCTCCATTCACACCTGTATATTTAGGTGCATTTAGGGATTCCTGCGCACGCATGTAATGACACGTGATATGTTTACACGCGGTTAGGAATCCATCCCTCTCCCTGGACGCAATGATCGTGTTTTCTAACCGCATGTAATCAGATCACGTTCCGCCAGTCAGCGCTGAAGGATCGGAGCGGGAATCCCTGCGGGGAGCTGTGAGTGACAGTCACCGCTCTCTGCAGGGAGATGATGGAGAAGTGAGCGAGCGCCGGTATGTGTCTCTCAGTCTCATTGTCACACGTCGCCCCGAACTATGAGGAGGAAATCCCTGACCTCATAGTTCTCCGTTAAAGTTTGAAATTTGGCGAGTGGCCCTCGAGGGAATTGAGCCCGAGACCCCCGCCTCATGTCATACCCTGGAAGAGGTCTCGGCACTCGGGGAAGATCTGTAAATAAAAGGTGAATGTCCTCCTTCCCCTCTCTGGGCCCTCCATGGTGTCACCGCGCTCACCGTTTTCGTAGAAAACAATGAGAATCCGGCGATCAGAACATCCGCTAAAAAGTGATTTGAAGTGTTTACCCAATTCTGCCGACAAATCAAATCTATGACCCCTCACAGTGTGCGCCCCCCCCCCCATGGGGTCACCACTCTTCAGAACAATGATCATCCCAATCATAGAATAAGGCTCTGTGCGGGGAGAGAGTGTCTTCTGATGTGTCACATGACTCTGACCCCCAAATCCCATCTGTCCTCACATCAACCATCACTGAGTCTCATGACTTTTTACCTCTCGATTTAGGAATAAAATGGCGCAGAAACGTCGGGAGAAAACGCTGCTGGAGAAGCTGCGCTGGGTGACGCTCGGCTTCCACTACAACTGGGACACCAAGGTAATAACTGGAAGTGGGCGGAGTCAGGAACACCTGGCCTGCACATTGTCATAGCTCAGCCATTGGTGTTCCCGTCTCCTCCGTCGGTGAGAGCGGCCATGTTGGGTGCAGCGGGATGAGTGTCTGTCTCTCCCTTGTCTCCCGTCATAGAAATACTACAAGGAGACGTTCACCCCGTTCCCGCCGGACCTGGCCGAGCTCTCCCGCTGTGTGGCCCTCGCCTGCGGCTTTCCCAAATTCAAAGCCGAAGCCGGAATCCTCAACTATTACCACATGGACTCCTCGCTGGGGATCCACGCAGATGAGTCGGAGCCGGACCACCGGAGCCCCCTGCTGTCCTTCAGGTGAGTGTGCGGCTTGTACACTGCTGTCTGCTCTGTCATATCATTGTGGGAGGGGCAGAGACACAAACTACTGGAGATCTCA